TGTATCTAAATCTAAGATATTTTCAACTACAAATGAGAGAATGTCATTATCTAGTTGGCTTACACAGACTTATCTTTACTAAGTGTAATGTAGCATTTGGAGAATAGGCAATGCATGTACATTCGGCTGAATGATGAAACTATTAAACAACTGCCTAATTAAAAGCTATAGAATGAATAGATTCTCTACAAGAATCTACAGTACATTAAAATAATGATTTTGTAAAGCTTGAAGCCAATGAAGTCAGATTCCATTTAAGTATGTGACATCTACCACCTCCTGAAAGCAAGAAATTGCATGAAGATTATCACAGATGAGCTTATTCTGGAGAACTGTATTAAAGACAATCTTAAGTGTTTGGCATTCTGATGATCCCCTCAACCCTGAATCCAAATTTCCAAAATTCCTTGTCTAATCCACTGATGTCCCCAACACAGACACAGAAAAGAGAAGATCATCCCTATGATATCACTCTGGTTTATCTTTTCTGCCCCAGGTTGCTTGAACAGCCATCCTTTTTTAATGTGCTGTCTATGTTTTGGCTTTGTTGAACATTTCCTTGGCATCTTTACTTTGATAGTTCAGAACTGGAGCACTTGGCTTTCACAATTGCTGGAAAAGCAGGTGGTGTGCTACCATATTAAAAAGGCCTTTTACAGTGTCTGGAATAAATGATATGGAAATTTGAGTTGTGTTGCAATTTTAGGAGAAAAACATCTGTCATTTACTTTCTGTCCCTGTGTTCACCTTAGAGGGTGGATCTCAGTGGGAATGTATTCATATCTGGACCATCTTAGAACTTTATCCTTATTAAGTCATTATTAAAACTGTGGTGGTGTCCAAAATCTCTTCACTACTTTTCCCCTTGGTAGAATCTGTCATGTGATATTTTTAGCAATTGTTTTGGCAAAAGCAGTGAAAAAAAATGAAGATAATACACACAGGGCTCTATTTAAAAAGAACTTATAATAGATAAGTTAGATAGTTGTTTTTGCTGAGTTGAGCCTATTGTATGGTCAGAAATGCATCTCCTACATGAAGAAATACTTGACATCAGTGGAAAGCCAGAGCAGAAAGTGGTGGGCTCATTTACACAGCTGGAGCGTGTGTGCAGAACTGTTGAAACTGTATCTCTGCTATAGGGGAGAAGCATTTATAAAACGACAAATGCATTCATCATTTATGGTCCAGTGTTCAATATTTGATACATGAATACCTTGCCTTTCTTTTATATGAGGATGGCAGAAATCTCCTCACTATGAACCCAGCAAAATTTTGAGTTGAGAACATCTTATCTGGTCTGTTTGTAGCCACTGGAACAAATTTCATGGTAATTAAAAGTCAGGCCATATATATTTTTTTAATTTTCTAAGTCATAATCTATTACATGGCATTTTGAGAAACAGTAAGTGTTCTTGCTTTATACGTAGTAGGTATTCAATAAGCAATGCTACTGGATCAGACTTGGTTGTAAAGTGGATTCCACCATGTCTACATTGAGATCCTAATAACTATGTACAGTTAAATACTAATGTTCAGAGATCTATGACTTTCAAAAGGTTAGAACCTATAGCATGAAAGTTAGATAGGAGACATTATTGGGAATTTTCGGGGGGCTAGATCGTGTGGCCTGACTTTTTTGTTTATTATTTGCCCCAAGTGCTTTCCTTAAAAAAACAGCAGCATTGCCACAGGGTCCTGGATGTTGTGTCTTGGGTGGTCGGAGGATAGTTCTGGAGCTCATTAATCATACTGTCCTTGATTTCTACCACTCTATTTCAACAAAGATTTATATTTAGAATACACTGAAAAGCAGTAAAATGAAAACAGTAAAATCAAAAGTTGAAGGACTAGTTTTGTGATAACAGATAAAATAAAGAATATCATATTTTTCAACTTAATTAAACATACAAATTTTCTAAAATATTATTGTTTTATTAAAGGCAAGAAAAATCTAAGGGTTTTTAAACCGTGGTTTGGGAGATACAAAGATTCTGTGTAATCCTGAAAAAAAATAAAAGCAGAGGTTAAAAAGCAGTGCATATACTAAGTATAGATAACCCAAGTAATTGAATATTTACTTAGGTTACTAAGGAAAAATGTGGACATTTCACAGAAAAAAAAGAAACAGAGACTGTTTCTGTCTTACTATAAAAGGATACATTTATATTCCTGATCATGTTAGCTATATTAGAATTCCTGAGATCCCATAAATGGTTTAACCTGACTTACAATATACTGAATTCTGTACATACATTGTTTTTCTTCTCCACCTCTAGAGATAGGGCAATAGAGGTTATAGTAAAATTCTTACATCTTTAAAACATTGTCACTTTAAAGATGAATGAAATATCATAGTTTCTTTCATTGGCTGTAAGTTCCTGTATTTCATATAAAAGAAAATACATCTGATAAGGGCTAATATCCAAAATATATAAAGAACTCATACAACTCAGTAACAGCAGAAAAAAAATTCTGATTAAAAATGAGCAGAGGATCTGAATAGACATTTTTACAAAGAAGACACACAGATGTCCGACAGGTACATGAAAAGTTACTCAACATCACTAATCATGAGGGAAATGCAAATCAAAACCACAATGAGATATCACCTCACATCTGTTAGAATGGATATCAAAAATACAAGAAATAACAAGTGTTATTGGCAAGAAGTGGAGAAAAGGGAACCCTCATGCACTGTTGGTGGGAATGTAAATTGGTGCAGCCACTATGGAAAACAATATGGAGACTCCTCCAAAAACTAAAAACAGAACTGCCATATGATCCAGCAATTCCACTTCTGGGTATTTATCCAAAGAAAAGGGAAACACTAATTCAAAAAGATATATGCATCCCAGTGTTCAGTGTTATTATTTTCAATAGCCAAGACGTGGAAACACCCTAAGTTTCCACTGACGAATGGATAGAGAAAATGTGATACACACACACACACACACACACACACACACACACACGGAATATTATTCAGCCATAAAGAAGAATGAAATCTTGCCATTTGTGACAACATGGAGGGACATTGAGGGCATTATGATAAGTGAAATATCAGACAGAGAAAGACAGATACTGTATGAACTCACTTATATGTAGAATCTAAAAGCAAAAACAAAATAAAACATAACAAATAAAAAAAAGAACTCAAAGATATAGAAAACTAATTGGTGTTTACCTGAGACAGGGGTTGGTGGTGGGTGGAACAGGTGAAGGGTGTCAAAAGATATAAATTTTCAGTTATAAAATAAATAAGAAATGGAGATGTAATGTACAGCTTGGTGACTGTAGTTAATATTGTATTGCATATTTGAAAGTTCCTAAGAGAGATTTTTAAAGTTCTTATCACAAGAAAAAATTTGTGACAGTGTATGGTGACAGATGTTAACAAGACTTATTATGGTAATCATTTCACAATATATACAAATATACAAATTATATTGAATCATTACATTCTATACCTGGAACTAATATAATGTTATATGTCAATTATACCTTTATACCTCATTAAAAAGAGAAAGAAAATAAGTATAATTAGCCTTATATACGGATCTGTGTTATAATCTAATTGATGAAACTTAAAGGTCATGTTTATGGCAAAAACATAATCCTTTAGACATACACCTTTAGATTTAAAATATTGTCTCTCAACATCCTGGAAATATTCTATCGTCTTCTTGCTTCTGTTGATGCTTTTAACAAGTGAACATTCTAGCTAATTCTTGTAAGGGGTAGATAAGTGTGCCGGGAGCGTTGAATCTGGTCATTAAAGAATGAGATGTTTGAAATAAAGATTTCCTATTTAGTATCAATTCTGATAATGATAATTGTCAGACTGGACCTCTGAGAATGATAGTTGCAGAATAGATGAATAGTTCCTCATTTTAATACTCAGAAATATATTTATATTTCCAAGTAGTGAATGAGACACAGCCTTATAAAACCCTAAAATGAGAAAGGTATTTTACTCCATATGTTGAAGAGACTTAGGCCACATACCAGGCTGGGCGTTATTTAAAGTCTTACGTCCACTTCAATATCAAATTATCTTTTTAATTAGCTTCATTGGTAAACTGGAGCCAAATAATCATAGACACTTGACTGGTGATTGACCTGACATTTTGTTGTCCATTAAGCTTTGATATATTTCTCTTATATTCTTTATCCAACAGCAATGGAAATAAAATCCTGCCCTGAAATATAGGGCTTGGTAGTGTGGTAGGGATGCTGGCCTCACAAAAAATGTATCAAGTATTATCTTAATATCTAGCCCTACACTTTTTCTTTAAATCTTTTAAAATCTTTGATGACATGACCATGTTATTTCTCCCCTAATCACTGTCACCTATCCCAAATATTCAGCTTGTTCATAGTCTTCCTGTCTTGCTTCTGATAATATATGGTTTTAGGAAAGTGTTATTGACTTATTGACACTAAAGTATGAATAATATTTGAATTGTAATAGATCTTAAGCCAAGGAATGAACCTTTCTGACATTTAAGAAAAAAGTCACTTTTGGTAGTAGGGTCATTTAAAACCTCTAATATATCAGTTGTCACCTACTATATAAGTGGGTAAAGTTGACTAAGAGTGATTGGAAGAAATCCAGAAATGTATTTTTTCAAAGCATGTATGGTGTATAAATCCATATATTTTCATCTATATTTATAAATACATATACTTTAAGAAAATCTTTAGAAGGAAAAAGAATTAATAGGTGGTATGTCAGAGCACCATAGTAGCCACATTTATGAATTGGAATTTGATGTATCACTTTTTAATTTAATAAAGACTATATCCAAGAAGCTACTGAAAAAAATAAGATATAAGGAGAAAATTCTTAGAAACTCAGTTACACTATGGATTATGATAAAAAATTTTGATCAAATATTAGAATGGTAGCCTGATTAATGATTTTGTTAATTGATCTTTATCTAAAGTGCATATCTTTATAATTTAACTATTAACTTTATTTTTTTCTCCTTTTCCAGTGTTAAAGAACCCAGTGTGTAAATTATATAGATTTCCCACATCTGACAATAAGTGGATGCGAATCCGGGAGCAGATGTCAGAGAGCATACTTTCTTTTCATATTCCTAAGGAATTGATCTCTCTTCAAATCAAAGAAGATTTGTGTAGGTAAGAGAAAGTGATTTATGATTGTCTCTTACATTAATTATTTTTTTTATGAAATATTTTTTCTTAAAGTATGATAATAACATAAAAATCTAGATCTGCATTGTCCAGTATGATGGCTCCTAGCCCTGTATGACTATTAATCACTTGAAATGTGATTAGTCCACTTGGAGATGTTCTGCCAAGTGTAGTATAAACACCAGATTTTGAATTCATAGCACACAAACAAAAAAAGACTGATTTCATAATGAAATGTTAACATTTTGGCTATACTGGGGTTGAATACAATATGTTATTAATTTTATGTGCTTCTCTTTTTACTTTTAATTTTTATTTTATTTTATTTTTTATTGATGTATAGTTGATTTACAATGTCTTGTTAATTTCTGTTATACAGCAAAGTGATTCAGTTATAGATATTATATGCATTTTTTATATTCTTTTTCATTATGGTTTATCACAGGATATTGAATATAGTTTTCTGTGCTATACAGTAGGACCTTGTTGTTTATCCCTTCTATATATAATAGCTTACATCTGCTAACCCCAAACTCCCACTCCATCCCTTCCTCAAACCCCTCCCCCTTAGCAACCACCAGACTGTTCTCTATGTCCATGACTCTGTTTCAAAGATAGGTTCATTTGTGTCATATTTTAGGTTCCACATATAAGTGATATCATGTGGAGTCTAAAATATGATATCTTTTTACTTCTTACGTATGACTACTGACCACTAGAAAATTTTAATCACGTGTGTGACTCTCATTTGTGGCTTACATTACACCTTTTCTGTGTAAATCTCCCACCATTAAAATGTGTTGAAAAAAATTCAATTATGAATCTTTAAAATTTTCTAAAGAAAAGTAGAGAAAAAATCATGTTGAAGACTCAAAAGGGAAATAGGAAAGATTGTAAGGAAATTGACTAGCGATCTCAGTAGAGTATAAGGTATGGTTATTATGAAAAGGAATTAGAAAGCCCTAAGTTGAGAACCATCACCTTTTATGAAAAATGCTGAGACGAAAAGAATAATGGAGAGAATAATGAAATTTTAAAATGCAGTAGGCAAATTAAATCCACAGAGCCAGCAGAGAAGAACAGATTTTACACTAAGAAATCACATCTCGGATGTGGAAGACAAACACAATAAGTTCTTCTCAAATGTTCTTTCTTGGGAAAGAACAATTCATGCAAAAACTTGAAAACAGTGAAAACTCATGCAGGTTTTTATTTTACATGCTAAAATCAGACTAACCTTATACTTACTTCTCTGCAGAAGTCCATGGAGTAACATCTACTGTTTTTGATTTTTTGAGAGAAAAAGGTTGTGGCCCACTTTATTATATAGGGTCAAGTTATGACTTTTCTTTAATGAATGAAGGCAATGGAAATGACATACTTAAATACGCAGAAGCTCAGAAAATGTCATTCACCGAACTTCCTTAAAGAATCTACCCTTGAAGATATATGCTATCCAACTGAGAGAATAATTTAAATTAAGAATTATATTTGTAATATAATATAAATTAATATACTGTAATCATTAAATTATAATATGAAATTAATATGATGTAACATAACAAATTAAGAATGTAAGAATGGGACATTGTCCTACAGAAGGACTTGAAACATTTTTCTTGGTTGGGGGAAATCTCCGGCCCAGACAGAGCTTTACTCTGAAGTTCTTTTTTTGGCCTCTTTGGTTTTGTTTTAATTTTTATTGGAGTAGAGTTGATTTACAAGGCTATGTTAGTTTCTGCTGTACAGCAAAGTGAATCAGTTATACATATACATGTATCCACTCTTTTTTAGATTCTTTTCCCATATCGGTCGTTACAGAGTGCTGAGTAGTGTTCCCTGTGCTATACAGTAGGTCCTTATTAATTATCTATTTTATATACAGTAGTGTGTATATGTCAATCCCAATCTCCCAATTTATCCCTACCCCCTTTTCCCTCCTGGTAACCGTAAGTTTGTTTCTTACATCCGTGACTCTATTTCTGTTTTGTAAATAAGTTCCTTTGTACCATTTTTCTAGATTCCACATATAAGCGATATCATATGGTATTTGTCTTTCTCTGTCTCGCTTACTTCACTCAGTTTGACGATCTCTAGGTCCATCCATGTCACTGCAAATGGACTCTTTTACCCCTAGTCTTACTCAGATCCCAGAAAGTGTTATACTTACCTCAACCTTCCTCTCAACAGCACAGTTTTAATGGATTTTCTTACGTGGTTTGATGAAGACTGTGGGTGCCATCGTGCCCTTATCTTTCAGTAGTTGCAAAGAGTACAAGGTGCTTCATTTTCATGCTTGGAAATCTACATTGAGAGAATTAATTTTTAAAAAGCTTCGAGTCTTTTCTTCAAAAAAAAAGTTGCCAGGGCAACTTTATATTATGCTAAGTAACTGAAACAGCTACTTTCTGAATCTTTAAAATAACTATTAACTAAATTATATCATTTTAGTTGGTGAAGAGCAGTAAGTAAATGAGCAGTAGATAAAAGCTGCCATTAAGTCCCTATTCATAGGACCTCTGGATGGATGGAAATAGTTATAGATGGATAGACAGTGAGATAGACAGACACACAGACATAGATACATACAGTCTTTCTTTCTTTTTTTTTCCTTAGGAAAGTCAGTAAGCACAGTATGAATTTAGCTGTATAACAGGGGTTGCAAAAACTTTTCCTTAAGGACCAAATAGTAAATATTGTACAAAATATTTTACAAAAGTGAGATGTTTCCTCTCAGTTACCAAGATGATGAATTTGCAAACATGGTCAGACTGCTGTGAAGTCTGGATTTTGAAAATCCTACACTTTCTTTCATGAGCCACTGACTCTTTCAGTCTCACTTTTCACCCCAGACGTAAACTTTTCTACAACTTCTCTGTGTTGGTGTGTTGTCATCTCCCCATAGGGGTAATTAGGGTATTATTTGAATATTTTGTTACATAACTTCTCTCCTTTACCAAGGGAGTAGAAAACGGAAAATTTTCTGAAAAGACTGCTATGATTGATATCAACCTCATAAACTCGCAGGTAGAGATTTCCTAAGTTTGAGTATGGATTTAACTGTGAACGAAAATAGCAAGTAAGAAAGCGAATTTAGGGAATATTAGGTATATGTCTAGTCACAACTGTGTCTTAAAGACAAGGCATTATTAGTAGTTTTGTAATCTATTTAACTCGGTAAGAATGAAATCCCACTCAGGCATTTGAGGGTATATTGTTAATTTTATCATGTCTGGGATTGGTAAACACTTGACAGGCTAAGTTAGTGTGAGTTTGTTGTCAGGGACCAGGTGTGTGCGTGGTATGCCTCTCTGCCTAATGCATACCTGTATGTATCAATGAGGAAAATGTTGTCCTTCTCAGCCGTCATGATATGGAGTGTAAATGTTGGCAGGGACATAATGGTGCAGCAGCTACTTTCCCTCACTCATACCCAGTGCCCTTGCCTACAGCTGCCATCTAAAAACTCCCTTGCTATTAGTCCCTTAGAGTGACATTGGACTCAACGTGAACTACTTTTCTTAACTTTGAGATTGTACATACATAAAGTCTTAGGGCTGTGATAGAGTTTAAATTCTTTGGGGGCTCCCTCTGATTGGCCTAAGCATTAATACCTTCTGAGTTCAAGTTCAGATATATAACATCTGTTGCATTGGCTGTGACGTGTTTTCACAACGCTAAACTTTGAATTTTATATTCCGGTTTAGGCCCCAAAAATTCACAAGCAGAAAATCGTAGATGACAAGTTATGTTTACTGTTGTGAAGAAAGGCTTATATTAGCAATTTTCTGCTGCTTTGCTCCTGAAGCCATATTTTTAAAAATATATAAAATGTGTGGTAATTGTTTTCTGTAAAAATAATATATGGTCACTATAGAAAATAGTGAAAATATAAAAAAGAAGAAAAAAATCACTCTAAACCCACCACCCAGAAGAAATACTGTGTCTTTATTTTCTACATCTACCCTCATCTTCGTGAGCCTCACTGTGGAAAGCAGACTTTTGGTCCCCATGATTACCATGCCCTGGTATCACATTTAAATCATTCTCCCTCAAATAATTCCTGTCTCAGTAAATGCAGCCCTCTCTTCAACAGTTCAATGCAGAAACATAAAACATAAGTATTTTTGTCTTGTCTCACCAAACCTATCCACATTCCACATTCAAGTATCAATTTCTAATCATGCTAATTCCACAGTTTCCCTCAAATTCATTTATTTTTTATGTTTTCACTCTATCCATTCTAATCCCAACCACCATCATTTCTTGCCTGTGATGGTGTAGTGGTCTATAACGGTTTTTCTGCCAGTGGCCTTGCTTCCTTAAAATCCATGTTTCACTTTTTTATGAACAAATGATACAATTGAACTTATTTACAAAGCAGAAATAAACTCACAGACATAGGAAACAAATTTATGGTTACCAAAGGTGATATCAGAGGGAAGGGAGAGCAGAGAGTTTGGGATTAACAGATACACACTACTATATATAAAACAGGTAAACAACAATGACCTACTGTATAGCTCAGGGAAATATACTCAATGTCTTGTAATAACCTATAATGGAAAAGAATCTGAAAAAGAATATATACATATATGTATAACTACATCATTTTGCTGTACGCTAGAAATTAACACAACATTATAAATGAACAATTCTTAAAATATAAATGAAAAAGATCCATGGTTCACATTGCAGACTCACATAATCTGATTAAAAATGTTATAAATATGCAGATTTCCAGCAGGAGTATCAAGGAGACAGCACTGATGTATAAACTCTTAAGTACTATGCTGGAATTATGTGTTGGGAAGGGAAGATGGGAAGGTCCAGCTTACCAAGTATCAGTATAATACCTCGCTTCTGAGAAGTTTACTAAATGATTCTATAATCGTGACACCTAAGGGATGTGGCATTATAAAGTAGCCCAGTTCTTTGATCTAGCCTCCTTGAAGGATGGGGGGGAAAACACAACTGGTTTATTA